GAATAGTCTATTGACAACAGTTTCTGGGAAATGGCATGGAAGGCTATAGAATACACAGTTTTGGGTTACACCCATACCATGATGAACTGCTCTCAGCTGTGCTAACTAGGACAACAGTCAGTAGAATGGAACACTCAATTCTCAAACATGATTTATAGAGGAGATAAATAATATCCTGGATGCATAACTATCCTATAATCTAAGATTCTGGGGCGAAAAAAACCAAATCAAAAACGGACACCAAATACAGGAAGAGATGTTTATTAGAAAATATCACACAGCAAATACTTGAAAACAGAGTTAAAAACCTATATAAGTTCTAAACCCATTTTATAGGCTTTCTTTTTCTGAAAAGATTCTCTGCTCACTCTTTTGCTTCAAGCCTAATTAATTGATGAAAATAGTAATATTAATGCTTTAGAGCTATTATAAAGTACACTAGAATTTCCAAACTAATAAAATACCTACAGAATTATATATATGAGTGTATGGATTTAAAATCTAAGAAGTATGAGCTTATCTAAAGCTCGAATCATAAGCTCTTAGGCAATAGACTTAAAAAATTGTAATCAAGAGATAAAGACAATTATTTGAGTTAGAACAGCCTCTGTGAAAGAAAGAGATGCTCTTATAAAGTAAAATATCTGCTTAGAAGAGATGGAAAAAGCTCTGGCATATCACAGCAGTAGAGTAAAAAGTGTGGTAATAACATACCACCTTTTCCACATTAGTACTTTTTTCCACTTAGTGGAATATGAAGGCACGATCACCCAGATTTTGCCTAAGGTTCCTCCAATATGAAGTGAAGTATTATCTGAAAATAGTTTCAAAAAGTAACATTAGTCAACAATCATTCTGTAAAGTCATGAGTGCAAACAACTGATACCACGATCCTCGTAAATCAATCAGGTGAGTTAAACAGACCATAAAATACGAGCAATTAAATAATCCTTATGTATTAACAACTAAGAGTTACTCAAGGAACAGCAGAGGACTAGACCAAAGGGTTTTCCAGATGACTGATTGTTAATTTAGAAGCTGAAGCAAGCTGTTTGTGTAAGGAAAAAGAGTAATGTTAAGCAAAGACTCAGCTCCCTTCTCAAGAAAGGAAAATAAATACCATTCTTCCTTTTTGAGGAAATGCTATAGCAAAACTGTCACAGATGTGTCACTAGGAACCAATGGGTCAGGAGGACTTCCACTTTTATGCAAGACTTGCTTTCTGAACAATCTTATTATACTTCACAGATTAGTGATGGAACTAAATTATTCTATATGAGTAGTACAGTCAGACAAAGTTTGACACCATGTAAACACACAGAATAGTATGGCATTTCTGAAACATTACGTCACCCTTGAAGATTTAGCACAAAAGGTAAGAACTGGCCTCAGACCATTTTTAAAAGTAATTTTAATGCTTCCTCATTATTTGAGAAGTGTACTTTTTTGTATTAAATTTGATTAAGTCAAAGATTACTGATAAGAAGCTTAAGTATCACCATGACAACATCATGAAAATGTGTACTGTTCCAAATCACACTGTCCAAGAAATAATCCAATCTATTAAACCAACTAACTTCTAAATACATTGCAAAGTTTATTGACTGGTTAGGAGGTTAGTAAAGTGCAAATGCTGTCAATGTTGCATTGCCTACTAAAATGTCAGATAGAAATTTGTTGAGATTTCAGCTGTCTTCTCTCCTGTATAGATTACTCTGACATTCAATAAGGTATAAAATGTTCTTTAAATATCTAATGGATAACGAGAAATCACCACTCAAAGTATATAGAGGAAAATGGTAATGCTTTAATAGCTAAAAGTGCCGTCAGAATCAAGTATGGGTACAGTCAAGTTATGGGTACAGTAGATTCCATAACACAAAACAAACTGAATCAATAAATGCATATATGCTACAACGCCACTTCAGTATTTGAATTCCACTTCCAGAGGAAACATAAGGCTTTAGATTTTTTTGATAAAATATATGCCATTGTCAAGCAGCCAGTTTTGTACAGCAATATGTAGTAAAAGCATATGGGAAAGACTGGGTTGCTTAAAAGAATGGGTCAGCATTACAGAAAGTTAATGGAATTTCAACAGGAGTTGACTCATGCTGTAATGCATCATATGAATTCAGAAAATTAAGAATTAGTTTTTACAGTTTTCCAAAATAAATCTGACATATCAGGGTTATCAAGATGTCCAACAGTGTTATGATCTGCCCCTGAGGTCATAACCGATCCCTTGGGGCAGATTAGCATGAAACAAAACAGAATGACTGGTGGATTTTTACGCACACACACACACACACATACACACGTATGTATGTATGTCAGGTTTATTTTGGAACAATTTGATTGCAATGGAAACAAGATGTGTAGCAGGTTTGGGTTTATCTACAGAAATACAGTAATATAAAGGTATAAAAATAACACCCAAGAAAATATACAAGAAAGAGAAACAAAGGATAAGAGTAGATAGTGGAAAGGAGAGATACCACCACCCAACAAGACTTGATTGCAATTACCATGTCTGTTGGTCAAAGTGATGGTTGCAAACTTGATCCATCAGGGGTGGGGGAAGCCCATGAAACATAAAGTTCAATGCATTCATAAACATTCAGGTTCAGGTGGCAACATCCAGGAACCTCTCCCCCTGGAGGGGGGAGTTTATACTGTCTGTTGTAACACTGTAGATCATGCACAGTCCTCTCATGGAAAGTTCTGGGGGCAGTTTGGGGGTCTTTGATGGTTTATGACCCCTTCTAAGACATGACTGCTGTTTCTCAAACCAATTATGCCTTAACAGAAGGAATGAATACCCTCAGGCCTACGTGTGAATGTCCCAGTACCTCTTCCGGGATGGAGAATTTTATACTTGAGCCAGTTGTTGAAACTGGCATCGTAGAAAGCATTATCACACCTCACAGGATCTGCTTTTTATAGGACTCTTCCCTTATCTGTCTTAAAACCCAGCTTTTTGCTAAACAGAAGTCAGTTTGTTGTGGTCATCCTCTGGTGGTGGGTGCTCACCGGCTCTGCACCCTGGGCTGTCCTTCTGCAGATCAGAGGTTTTGCCACCACACACTCAAAACTCTTCACATCCTCTCAGTTGAGGGTGCAAACCTGGCCTCAGCAAAGCACATTGCTTTTACAAATGACCAATTGTTTGAGTAATTAATCTTCAATATTTCAGTCTCTCACAAACAGCAAACCAAAATCCAGTGTTCCATATTCACTCAAGCATGTACAGCAAGTTAATTCTTCAAGCTATATGTGCACAAACATGGCCTAGTTTATGCAAGAGGCTCATTTTCAGGTAAAAAAAAAAATCCATTGAATAGTTACCAACAATACATTGCACACAAATACATTTAGACCTTGAAATGATGGGCAAATCAAGCCACAGCAAGAGTACATTATCACCCATATAGAATAATCCCCTTGAGTATGTTGTGGGTTTTATTGTTTGGTTTTTTGTTGTTTTTACTGCTGGTTTTTCTTTGTTTGCTTGTTTTAAAACAACAGACATTTAAAAAACTAATAACTTACAAAAATACTGATAATCATAAAATCATAGAATCAAGCACATTGGAAAAGACCTCCGAGATCATCAAGTCCAACCCTTGATCCAACACCACCATGGTTATTAGACCATGGCACTAAGTACCACATCCAGTCTCATCTTAAACACCTCCAGGGACAGGGAATCCACCACCTCCCTGGGCAGCCCATTCCAATAAAATGTCTCATATTTCTACCACCTCGATACTCTCTTCTTCTTTCAACATTTTCTATCATCTCAGTAGTATCCCCAGTAGTTTTTTCAGTAGCTACATGATGGCTCAGGCTTCTTTTGCATAAAATCCATTGATAAAATATTCTGTCTCAGTTCGTTGATATATTTCAAACCATTTACATCCGAAAGCTTCTGGTTCTGTGAAATGGTTGAAAAGGCTTTTTTAAGGCCCATATCAGGATTGGTGGTTTCTGTTTAGTTTTTTCAGGAAATAGCACTGCTTCAGTTTCAGGTGTAGGAAATCGTACTCTATACACTTCAGGGTAAGATTTCTGAAACTAGAAAAGTACATTAATTCAAATTAGAATTTGAGCAACTTGTAAAATAAACTACTACAGTGCAACCTCCACTTCTGCAGCAGGAAAATTATTTCTCTAATGGACTTTCTACATCTCCATATATAGAAAATATCACCTAATTTTCTAATATGGGTTGATTCATCACAGTATTCCAGTTCTAATGATATAAAGTTGATACCCCCAAGTATACACGCCATTTTAAATTTCAGTATTTCTGTACAGGAATACATGTCTAAGACTTGATAAAACTTTTTAAGTTCAAATTAGAGACTGTAGAGCAATTTTTATTTACTTGCTTGAGTTTCTTCTTTTTATCTTTCACAGGTATTTCTTTATTCATTACAATTTCATCCAACAAAGCTGCCAGTGGTTCTTGAGAGCCAGTTGCCCTCTGGTATTCAAATTCATCTGTACTGATTTGGTGACAAAATGGTGGAGGAGGAAATGTTGCATCAGTATCAGCTCTAGCACATTTAATCTGAAGAAATAGTAAAAAAAAAAGAGCGTTATGTTTTCTGCAAACAATTTACAAAAACTGGCTTAATTAACTGACCACCCAGAAACATCAGGTAGAGAAGATATGGCATACAGACCCTAAACTGTACTTTCTATCTCTTCTACTAATCAAGTGAGTTCCAGTAAGTCAAAAAACATGACACAAAGGAAGCCTGTTCAACTCTTGAAATAAGTTTAAAGTTACTTTTTCACCAGAAAATAAAGATAGAGGAACTAAAAGCCAGCTTTGAACAAAACAAAATATGGTATCAGGAAACAGAGTTATAAATAAATGATCAAGTAAGGATGGCTCTAAAAAAAAAGGTTACAACATTAATGAAAGCACTTTATAATTCACAGTTTTCCTCACTATTACGTAGTTTACCCATTCCATGGAAAAGATAGTGCTGATTAACAGGAAAACGTACTTTAAAGTTCTTGTCTCTAAACCATTCAAGACTTGCTTAGTTGCATATGAACACATAGTTAAGGTTGAATATCAGTAGTCAGAATTAGTTAGCTCTTCAGAAGCTAACAGAGACAGAACAAAGTGTTTTAAGAACTGCTGAACTTCGGAGAACAAAGGTTAAATTTGACCTAGAAACACAGAGACAAAAGAGGCTTTTTCACTAGATACTTACTTGGACTCTCTGGAGACGTATAACATGATCCTCTACAGAAGATTTTAGAGCAGAAGGAACACTTAAGATCTCTTGATAATTATCCATGAGAAAAGATACTAGTTTGGCAGCAAGCAGTTCATCCAAATCTATTTCATCATTTGAGCAGAGGATACAACGGGAAAACGCCTGAACCATCTGAGAAAAAAAGCAACATCATTATCATGCATTTTTCTGTTTGGGACTGAGGAGTAGGGAATCAGGCTACATTTAAAAAGTGACCTTGTAGAATAAATATTTTAACATCACAATACTTAACTGTACTTCCAACATACTCGTATAATAAAAAAAAAAAAACTTGTTATGTACAGTGACATTATGTTAGTGATGGATTGAAGATTACTCCTGCCTCATATAGATAATCCAATCCTGACTTTAGACTTAGAATGGATGAATTCTATTTTGTTCTCAAGACTTGGTCAAATAGCCACTTCACATGGCTATTTACAGTTAACCAGATAATAAGTATTTAGAGATTCTTTTAAAATAACACAGAACTTTCATAGAAGTTAAGTATGAGATGGAAAACTGAATACCACTATTCTGAAATCATCAAACCAAATTTCAGGTCCAGTTCACTTCGTGTAGTCTTGTGCTCAAGCATTATGTCTGTGCACTGATCATTTCTAACGTTGAAAGCACAGAAGGTAATAAGGATTTCTGTCATGTACCATAGACTACGTAGTGGAATTAAAACCTAGTACGAAATACTTGGACTGTAAGGATTCACTTCTAAAAATAACATTTAGATTATAACATAACTATTTAAATAAAAGACCATTTACAGTTAATTAAATTATAACCTTAGCAGTCAAAAAAATAATTATTTTAATCAAGTGTTATTCAGAGTTAATTAAAATCTTAATTGCTGTGGAACAAATTTAGATTTATGCACATTACTATAGAATTTTTATAGAATAGCTCTACAGCTTAGTTTTGCATTGCACTTAATTTTCAAAGACTTTAAAATTAACCAAAATAAATACATGTTCTTAGCCAGTTGGAATTGTTAAGAAAAAGCATTAGCAAAAAATACAGCTTTGTCAAAGTCTGATTAAAATTCTTTTCAGAGACTTTTGTGGTGGAAAAAAAATTACTAATGAAATGAACTGGTTTCAGCCAGTTTTTTAAATGGCTGAAAACAGGTAAATCAAAATATGCAGCTATGTATTTCTAACCTTGACTGAAACAGGAAGTCTTTTTCATTCACACTGCAATGATAAAGAACACCAGAGACCTCCTCTGCTAGTTTTTTTTTGTTTATTTGTTTGGGGTTGTTTGTTTGTTTGGGTTTTTCTACTGAATAGAGAAATCAGTGGGGATTTAACTTTGAAAGATAAGGAAACCTCTAAAATTCTAAGCAACTTCTTCGTGTGCTCACAAATTACCATGAAATTCCAGTTTATTCAAATTCAGATTAGCTTTCAACATGGCTAGAATAGATAGACAAACCACTCTTCCAACAAGCAAACTGTATTATGTATACACTCTCCAGTAAGAATCTTCAATCCGTGCTACTCCAAAAGCCTTGTCCTCGACCTTTTGCCTCACATTTATACGTACCAAAGTTCTGGTCCTCACTGATTCAGAAAGAGGTGGCAAATCTTTGTTGAGGCTAATTCTTGCCATCATTCTCACCAACAGCTGTAGTCTTTTTCGATTTTCTGGTGGCAGCAGGAGACAAGATATCTGAAGAGCTTCTACAGCCTTGCTGTGTTTTTGCAGCAGTCCTGGTTTATACAAGATCAGGAGGTAGGGCAACATTTCTCAGTTAAGTATTTCCATAACATTTAACACAACGTTTCTATATTAAACTCCCCAAATTCCTTTCTTACTCAATCAAGACTGCCTTAGGACTTCAGTTCCCAAAGAGACTAGGAAGATATTCCTAGAGTTGGCCTACTAGATCTGGGTGGCTTGTTTAAGTATTTAGATTTCCTTCTGATGCACTGGAAAATATTAATAACCATAACAAACAATTCTAGATATTAGGATACATGAAAAACTACAATGTTTTGATTCATCCTTTGCACTTTAATTCCCTCGGCTCTAAACATAACTGAGATGGTATGCACAGGTGTAGCAACCACAGTAAAATGTTAAGCCTGTGGCAACAATCAGAGAAACATAAACATGTGCTTATACATCAGTGACAGCTATGACAATACCGACATGTTCCTCACACCTGTAGGGGTTAAACTGGTGCCTAACTCTGCTTACAGACTCTTGAGAAAACAATCCCGTGAGCATGGTAGAGATATTTGAAGACTGGACATGCACAGTAGAATCTGATAATAGTTTAGATCTCATCTATAAAGAGGTCTGACCACCACCATTTTGGGTTTATAAGGCTGTGCAAAGGAAGCGTCTATTACAAATTTGCCTAAACAGCACTAAGAAAAGTCAGGAAGCAAAATACCTGCATGACTGACATCTAACAGTAAATTCTATTAAAAAAGGAAGAAAACAAATAGACTTTTTTTCCCATAGGATTATGGAGGTTCGAAGAGATCTCTGGAGAATATATAGACCTCTTCCCATGCTCAAAGCAGGTTCATCTACAGCAAGATGCCCAGGACTATGTCCTGCCAGGTTTTGAATACCTTCAAAGATGAAGATTCCACAGTCTCTCTGGTCAACCACTTCCACTGTTTAACGACCTCCCAATTAAAATGCTATTTTCCTTTATATAAATGTGGTTTCCTGTACTTCTGTTCCTGCCCATTGTCTCTTGCCCCGTCATTGGGTATCACTGATCTGGCTCCTTCTATTCTCCTCCCATATCAATCTTTTATACACATTATTAAGATTCTCTCTGAGCCTTCTGCTTTTCAGGCTAAACAGTCCCTGCTTTCAGCCTTTTCCTATATGGCACATGTTCCAAGACTTAATAATTTTTGCTGTGTTTACTGGACTTGCTAACTAGTGCTGAGGAAGTATCTCCCTCAACCTGCTGGCAATGCTGTCAATGCAGTTATGAATGCTGCTGATATTCTTTGCTTCAAAGACACACTGCTGGCTCATGGTCACATTAGTGCCCACCAGGACTTCCAAGGACTTCTCAGCAAAGCTTCTTTCAAATCAGGCCCCCCCATCCCCAGCATTCACTGGTGCATGGACTTTTTCCTCCCCAGAAGAGGGCTTGGCAATTCCCTTTTTTTAACTTTATGAAATCCCTGTTTACCTATTTCTCTAGTAAGTCAAGGTCCCTCTGCACAGCAGTACAACCCTCTGCTGCATTTAGCCACTTTTCCCCATTTTGCAATATTGTGCAAGCTTGGTTAGTGCACTCTGTCCTTGTTTAGGACAGAATGTCCCATCACCCAGGTCATAAATGAAGTGTTAACCATTACTGGCCCATTATCAGCCCTGGGGGACTCACCACTAAGGGACAGTCAGCTGAATTTTGTGCCACTGATCACAACCCTCTGAGCCCAGCAACTCCACTGATTTCTGAGTTTACCTCACTACCCACCTTTTCAGCCTGTACTTCCTGAGGTTGCCTATAAGGATGTGATGAAGGACAGTGTTGAAAGCTTTACCACTCTCAACATAAACAGTATTCACCACTGCTATCCCCTCATTGACCATTTTGGTCAATTCCACACTGTGTAAAAGTGGAACTGTTATTAAAAAAAAATGTGCAGTAGTTAGTAGGGCAGCACTTAGAGACAGTGTTCAAAGCACACTGGTAAAGCACTGTAGTTAATTTTTAAAGCAACGCTTTCTCTAATTTCAAAGAAAATTTAACCAGCATACTAGTGCATATGTTTAGAAGATATGATTCCATATGATCATCTCATTTTTTTGTGAAAGAGATCACAAAACTAATTTTTGACTTTTTGAAACAGTGCACTTTTTTCATTGATTTCCATATGCACATTGGTATGAAATCCTTCTCTCAATTTTCCATCTGAGAAATTATGGGAAATAAAACTCCTAAAACCTGAAAGATATAAAAAACAATGGCAAAGTAAACAGAAATAGAGTATGAAAGGAGAGGAATAATTTTTAAAAATATTATCAAGAATATTTGTTGTCTAATAAAAAGAAGACAGAAATGGAACTATATTCAGAATGATGAAAGATTGTGAACTAAGAAAATATAACAATACTAAATTCCAGAAAGAGAAGTGTTATTCTGAATTCGTTTTTCATCACAACAGTTTACTAAAAGCAATGTTGTTCACAGGAAAAGAAGTTCAAAAAACTGACATGATACAAAGCATGCTTACTTTTCAACTCAGTTTTTTTTTTCTGAAATGCACCCATAAAATGTAATCAAATATTTTTACTTTTACTGTCTTTCAATAGGCCATCTATAGGATGAGAATAGGTGAATTTAAGATAGTGTGAACTACTGAAAAGGTATAGTTAATAACAAAACCACTGCTTCAAAGAAGCAGTGGATTAGTTATTGTAATTTCTAAATTTAAGCAAAAAAGGATTTCAATTTCCTTCAAATGTCATATTTCCAGGGTTAAAAACAGTGCTTATAGCCCTAATCCTTTCTAATCTAGACTTCAGTCAAGCAATTTCTAAAAGCTTATGAGAATTTTTAAGACATTTAAGCATTTGTAAAGAAAGAAAAATCTGTTAAAATCCATCTGTTAGATGCTGAGCAATGAACAGAGGCATTTAAAAATTAAGACAAGGAATGGAAGACTTTTGAACTATTGTGATCAAAAGGATACAAGTATTACCTTGTGATATAAAATAAATTTAAATATTAAACTGTGTTCTATGTAGAATGGAAAGGACAAATCCTAAAGAATTCAGCTGTAATACTATTTAAGTATAGTAAATTAACTCCAGGAAATTAATTCCAAAGAATAATTTTTTCATTATCTCCCAAACTACTTACCTAACACACTAACAAAAACATCAAAAAAATGAAATGTGAGAAGAGGTTCTTTCATCTGGTCAAAGTAGTCGACTATAGTTTTGAAAACATCTCTTTCAAAGCCTACATATGTAGGCTGCTTCAAATCTGAGCAGCTGGGCCCTACGAAGAAAAAAAAAAGGGGAGGAAAGAAAGAGAGACAGAACATTGATTTTAAGCCACCAACCAGATCAGTATTTTCTAATTCAGTTCATGCAAATACACCATTAGAGGAAAAAAAAAAGAAAAGACTCATTCTTCAAAATAAGTGAAATTTTATTGATCTACTAAATTGATCTATTCCCAACAGGTCTAGTGAAGACACATAGTAGAGGAAAAACATGAACAGAATAGTTAAACCATTATATACTTCATTGAAATAAGCTGCACTGGAAGGAGAATGCATGCTGGCAAGTCTTTTCCAACTTTGTTTAGGCAATTTTCATAAAAAGTAGTGAAAGTGAATATAAACAGGATTTGATAAAGTGGTAAAGGCACAGTCAATTCAATTGATTTTTACGGGGGTGGGCTGTTTGTGGGGTATTTTTCCCCCTCCTGAATTACTTACAATTTGCTAGACATTTCATTGCAGATAATATCCAGTGAGGTAGTTCCTCTGCATGGGGAAGAAACAGACAGAAATTAAAAGGAGGGAAAAAAAATAGAAAAATATCTAACTGTAGGATAAAAGCACAGCTGAAAACACTGTAACAAGTTCCTCCTGTGTAGTAAATGAACTGACTCCAGAGTCAGGCTATACCTTAATGTAGGATCTAACTTGAATTACATCTATAATTCAGTATCTTCAGTATTCCCTGTCAACCATGTATGCATTCTGCTCTTGCAACTCAATCAGCAAAATGGATCACATCACAAATCCTTAACCTACCCTAAAAAAATCAGACAAACTAATTCAAGCTATACCTTCACCAGTGCAATACAGTGAAGTGTTTACTTTGCACTGAAGATGATGAAAAGCACTTGTATATTCAGTTCTGTCATTTCTATGAGGCTGAAGTTAATACTTTAAAGTGCTCCAACTGTCTTTAAAATGCCCACATACACATTGTGAAGGATGTTTCATTCACAATCAAACCAGGTTTCAATATCATACTTAATTCCTCTACAAAACTTGTGAAAATCATGATGGCAACAACAGTGTGATATGTCAGAGCAGCGAAGATGCTTTATTTTCTCCCTGATGTGGAAAGGAGTTCTAAACATGATACTATCTTCACAACACATTGACTGAAAACTCAAAATTTTTTAAGTATCTCTCAGTGTATATTTTGGCTCTCTCCCAATTTTTAATACATTTTTTCTTTATGTAAACACTTCAGTTCAGGCAGCTGAAAGGGCAGGGTTGAGAAAGCCACCTTGAAGTGAATAAAATCCCTATCTTTATAAATAGTAAAAATTTGCTGCGCTTCCATCTTCATTTTTCAACCCTAAAGCTGGAATATGTTTAAGAGAGTAAATATGAAATAAACACTGACTTCTCCAATGGGATGTCAGAGGAGAACAATGGCCTCCTACTTTGTAAAAACCCTAGTACAGATGTGATCATACAAGTATAAAGATGCTACAGGCTAGTATAAATTAGAGCTAATACTTTATACTAGTAAACTACAATATAAAAAATTTAAATGAAAACTTCTAAAATACTCACTTGATTTGTCTTCTAAAGTGACAATGCCTTGCTTATTGACATTGTATGCATTTTGAACTATATGTTTTGAATTCACAAGTTTTACGTCTAACACTTCATCCAGAGAATCCAAACCCAAGACCTTTTGTAATCTGTAAAAACACATAAACACATAGTTCACACATCATCTAATCTAGAAAAAGCAAACATAAAGTATTTGGATAGATACAATTCTGAAAAAAGGAGGCCTCCATTTCATAGAGAATATCTCCAGTTGGACAGCAGCCATAAGGATAGAGCGCAACTCCCGCTCCTCACAGGACTACCTAGATTCACAGAATATCCTGAGCAAGAAGGAACCCACAAGGACTCCAACTCCCGGTTTGGGTACCACAGCCCCAAAAATCACACCATGTGCCTGAGAGCATTGCCCAAACACTTGAACTTTGTCAGGCTTGGTGCCGTGTAAACTTTCCTGGGGAGCCTGGTTCCAGTGCCCAATCACCCTCTCAGTGAAGAACCATTTCCTAACGTGGAGTCTGAAATTCCCTGACACAGCCTGATTCCATCTCCTTGTTTCCTACTGCTGGTCACCAAAGATCATCTGCATCTCTGCCTCCCTTGAATTTGTATACTACAATGAGGTCACTCCCCAACCTTCTCAAAGTTGAACAAACCAAGTGACCTCAGCCTCTCCTCCTAAATTTTGCCCTCAAGACCTTTCACCATCTTAGTTGCTGTCTTCTGGACATTCTCTATGCATGTTGACAGTTTACCTAGAAGGATACTGCAAGAGACAGTATCAAAAGCTTTGCCAAAATCCAAAACCAGCACATCTATTGTTTTCTCTTTGTCCCTTGGTCAAGGGGGACCTTGTCATAAAAGGAAATTGAATTGATCAAGCAGGACTTTTCCCTGTTGAAACTGTGATGGCTTTGATCAATGACTGCATTGTCTCTCAAGTATTTGTCATTAAATCCCAAAATAACCTTTTCCATCATTTTACCAAGCACTGAAGGGAGACTGACAGGATTGTAACTACCAGGATCTTCACTCTTAGCCTTCTTAAAACTCGGGAAAATATTTGCCAGCTTCCAATCAATTGGGACCTCTCTGGGCTCCCAGGTCAGTTGAAAATAATGGAGAGAGATCTGCAATGACATCATCCAGCTCTTTCAGTACTCTGGGATGAATCCCATTGGCCTCCACGGATTTAAGTGCATCCAGCTGGAGTAGCAAGTTTCAAACAAGTTCAGGGTGAACTGCGATTCTCCCATTTCCCCCAGTCATGATCTTGCAACACAGAGCTCTGGTGGTTCCAGGGGTCCACCATCAGACTTAGAAAGGCCATAGCTTTTGCTGGGCTAATACCATTGCTCCCTGGTCAAGCTGGCAGGGTTTCAGGACCCTTTCACACAAACTACTGTGCCAACCCTGTTTGCTAGTGCTCCATAGGGGTCTCTGTGTGAAGGAGGGGCTTGGTCACCATTGTCCCTGGCCCTGTTGCCCAGGTCCCATCAGGCAATACCATGTGAGCTGCAGGCAAAGACCAGAGGGTCCCTCCACTCCCCTGCAATCTCCATCTTTGAGGAAACCTGGCAGTGCACATGCACTAAAGTACACGCTGCCAATCGTGCTGTCACCAAAGCTGCTTGCCTCAGCATCGAGTTCATTACATGCACATAATGTGCTAGGTTTACATTAAAGTTTAGTAAGGCCTCAACTGTGCTGTAATATTAGCTAATGTGTATTATTTTTTTACCCCTGCATAAATTGTCTTAAACAATTACTTCAACTTTGCATGGGATATTCCTTTTGAATATACTAAAGAATATCTGACTCGCAAAGCCTTCAGCACTCAAGTAGATACTCCATTTATTTCATACAAAGTATTGTACTTGACATTGAAAGGTTTCATAGTGTTGCATTCCTACATGAGTGCTTCTATTTCATAGAAACGAGAAAAAAAAGAAGACTGAGAGAAAAAAGTGATCAAATAAGACAAAGCCCACACAACAAAAGGACTAGCATAACACGACATGAAAAAGTCAAAAGGTACCAAGCACAATAAAATTTTTTTGCTGAATTTGTTAGCCAAATAACAAATTGAGAGTAGTAGAGAGTAGTATAATCTAGACACTATAGCTTTGAAGGCAGCGATGAAAAGTGAGTGGGTGAAATTACAAGCATTACCAGAGAAGACAGGCAAGACTATTACCTACTACACAGTGTTACCATAACTTGACTCACAAGTATACTCACTGTGACAAAGTCATGGATTTCCATATCTCTTCTATATTTGTTTGTGTTAGCTCTCTGCGGAACACAAGTTTGCATGCCGGTACTTCCCCTATAGCTATACTGTGTCGCTTGTACCACATCTCGGAGTTCTGAAATCAGAAAAAACTCTCCTCATTAACTGGTGCCTTTTCAAGTATTAAACAGTATATTACAATTGTGGTACAGCATTTCAAGCATTCCTAAATTCCAGTAAAGTCTTCAGGATGTGAGTGAGTGTGTTTCACAGGTGTGAAACATTTTTCTCCATCACACACACATCTTTTCTCAATTCCTTAACTTGTCCAAATGCAACCGGCCATGCCTATCTCGTATTGGCCTTTTTAGCCACCAACGCGCTTGCAACAAATGTGGGTAGAGCCCTTCCTAAATCCTCGTTCGCGAAGCCCAGCCATGATGAACTTGTCCAAAGCCGAAAAATTATGTGTATCAGAGTAACCATTAAAGTTGAGGAGTCAATGGCCTTTAATCCTGTGTTCAGGTTGTCTCCATGATTAAAATCAGTTCATCTACCATTTTAAGATTACACATCTGCTTATGGAAAAGTTATTGGAGAATTATTAGATGAAATACCAAGGAATTAGAAACAATTCATCCTTTTTCAGCATATACTGATCATAACTAAACATCAAGTTCATTAGCAGGTTTTATATATGAAGAAACTAAAAGCAAATAGCTACATCTGAAGACACTCATCAGTCCATCATTACAACAGAATAAAGTACAGCTGAGAATGCAGAAAACTACTATCCTTTACCCAACCTTCAATCCAAGGCTGACACTTGAAGATTGTCATTAAGGTGTCAGTGGATGGACATACAATACAGTTCATACCAGCAACATACTTTTCAACACAAAACTCCTAGTCATTCCCAGTTCTTTGATTTGTATCACAGAGCAGTGCTAAAGCACATTAAAAGTATTACTTGTGATCACAACCAAACCACAAAATACACTCCAGGAATGCACTTAATTACTCCAAGTGCTAATCGTCTGTCATTTCATGACACTAGACTAGAGCTAGTTTGAAACAAATAGCACCCTCTGAAATTAAGAGTCTGGTCTTCCACATCAGAATTTCACAACACAGAATCATGCTCATCAATCCACATACAGCCAGTAAGTGCTCAGATTGATACTGGAGCAACTCAAGATGCCACCATTTACAGGTATCTGTTTTCTTCAGCATTCCAGTGGAAGATACACCTTATTATAAACGAGCTAGCAGAAAGAAGGTTATACCTTTGCCTCAGTTACTTCAACTTGCAGTTCACTGTATTAATCCAAACTGCCAATGAAAGAGATTTTGAGCTATGCCAGACTGCATGCTGTTGCATCTGAGTCAGATGCATAGAGGCAGTCTTTTCCTAACTCTTAGCAGGCCAGGATGCTTGGATGAAAATTTAGAGCAGACAGCTAGAAGCTGTAGCATTTTAAAACTTCAGCAGAAACTTGCTCAGTAATTAAAATACTCTATTCTCTTGACTAGTCTTTGGCACTCTCTTTTCTTCTATCCTAATCTTCTACCTAGTATTGAAGTTCTTAGGACCATGTTTTCCCTCTTCAGAAACTTGCTGTACATAAAAAGTGCACTTGATTTGCACACAGTTAATTGGATTGCAAATATGGAATAACCATTCATTCAGAAACTTTAGATGTCCAGCAAAATGGTAGGAGATAGTTTTCCAAACAGTCTATGGATCACCAAGAAATCCAAGGCCAGTGTCCTGCACTGAAATGCAGTAATAAAAAGGCAAAAATTATCGAAGAAGTTTCAAGAGTTCACAAAATATGAGAACACACACATACGCTGGAGGAAGGACTTAGAATATACATAACTACAAAAGCCTAGGCTTTTACCATGTCCAGGAGTTGTTAAAATTTTTAAAATAAAAGTGTTTGGCATTTCATTTTATAATCAAGTATTTTGTGCCACAACAAAGAGGTCATTAGTTTGGTTTTGCTTTACAAATATGCTTATGTCTGAGGAAGTGAAAACTGGGTGTTTTACCGTTGTGACGGATTTCACTGGGATGTGTTCTTGAGAAGTGCCAGCCTTCGGTTCATTCCAGTCTGGAAATTTAATTATTTCCTTTCCACATGAAGGTTTCTTTGGATATGACTTCAGTGGTGAGGAAGGAGGAAATCTACAATTAGAGAATATTTTTAAAGCCTCTGAACACCAACCTAATCCATATTTACTAATGTAAAACTGTAGCAGGCCATCACATGCAGAAATACAACAAATGCCTTGGACATTCAGTGTTCCCTGGAGACTGGTATTAAGTGCTATGTAAAACACAGTGAGGCGTCTTATTTGGCCTCCAGCTGCTGCTCTTGAACAGTTCAGGTCCTTTGAACCTCCCATGACATAGCCGAGCCTTGGGTAAAAGTCTGATATTCCAGTGCATTTCATATAGCACCAGCTGCCTGTACACAGACAGCTGACCAGGTCATCACTAGAAGACATGGATTCTGCTGAAAAAGCTGCAGGTAGGATTTCCCCCATGTCAAGTGTGTTGTTAGCACGTATGTCCTAAAGTAAAGCTACATATCTAAGACACGTGACCAATATTTGTATTTAATTAAAGTGCATGCAAGTGTCCACACAAAATTTTATCAACATTACCATGTTCTTTTGTATTTACATGTTTCCTATGCGAAGACTATAACCTGTAGTTCTCTGGAGTCTTTTTCCATCTGTTGCGCAGATAACTAATTCACTTTTTAAGGCATTTCAAGAAGTGCCTTGAAGAAATTAGCAGCAATAAGCCCTAAACCAGCCCTTGTAGAAAACAAGGAAAACAAACTATCCAGCTTGATCAGAATCAAATTACTGCTAAGCCATGCACAAAGGAATTAATGACAGCACACCACAAAGACAAATCAGTTAGGTGGCAACACGTCTTCAGACTGGCCCAGACCTGATCTTGTTTACTTTCACTCCTAGGTCTTAGATGCTGAGATTCCTGATGCTTCAAGAAACTACTTAAGCCTCACTCACTCTTTCAATCTGAATGTAAAAGACAGTTATGTCTGTGATTTTGCAAAAAGAGCTTGTACACTGCTAGATAGCATGCATATGTATCCTACTAGAAAGATACACTCAAAAAAATCCTCAGGTTTCTCCATCCTCTCATGCAGTTCCAATAAGTTTTAATTTAGTTTAATAAGTTTTTTATATAGTTTTGTATTGCAGTGTTGTTAGTCCAGTAGTGTTACTCTGCATGGGTTAAACACACAAGGGTTTTTACCATGAATACTGAGACCATTTGGCATCGTCCACAGTGCTCTTCAACAGAGTATATGCAACACAGCGATATCATTTCCATCAGACAAACCCTGAGAAGGAGCGGCGAGCATCTCATATTAATCCTGCAAGATTTACTCTGCCTTTTGAAAGTGAACCAGATTAGATGGCAGATGTTCAGCTGTTGACTGTTCTCAACCATTTTTCAGATACTATTTCTTAGAGTTTGATGTTAACCATGTGCAGCCTTTTTCCTTTGCCTTATACTATTTTCAGCAGTTCCCTGTTTCATCTCTATTTCTTCACAGTGTTAAGCTTTGTGCCATTTGCTGCCCTGATTCACAAACAACCAGTGAAAGAATGAGTTCTTACAAGCAGGAAAAGGAGGTGTACATTCCCCTTTTTCACACAGCATTACAGCAAGATCTAGATGAAGACAAGTTTTTGGATGAACAATGAAAACTCCCTGATTTTATGATGAAAAGATTAACGTTACTCAAATCTAGAAGCTGAGGAGCATTCCAAGCTTGACACATCGAGATCAAAATGGTTTATAGCCAGCAACACTAGTTTTAGGACTCTGTACAAAGAGGAAATAGAGATACATCTTTGTGTCTAGAACAGAGGATAGAGAACAAGGTCAACCAACATGGGTCCCAATGGTATAACAATTATTAGAGCTGCATTCCAAAAGTTTGCTATCAATGCAAGAGCAGTAACCCTTTTGCTTTTAATAGAATTGCTGCAATTCAAAAAAAACGTAAAGCCTGACAGCTTCCAAAACTGTAACTTCTCACTCACTATTGTAGACTAAACTGAGTCAGTTGGTCAGAAAAAAACTATGTGTCTGTGTGTTCTATTTTTAGAAGTCACATTAGATCTCACCTTCATATTTAATACTTGCCAAATACCCTCAAGCAAATCAAGATTTGACAACATCTCTTTTGCATACTCCATGAAGTAAAGAAGAGCAGACAGCCACACTTATATGTGAAGGTAATGAATGACAACTGTGCACCACAGGGTACAGTCACAGCATATTAACAGATAAATTTACAGAAAAGGCATATAGTATGTCAATATTTCCAGAGTAAGCACTGTCAGTGGAATGGACTCGTACCACTACTTGCATCAACACAGTGAAGATAAAAAGATACTATTTTCAATATAACATTAGGAAAGTCCACCAGAGGGAGCCGCCAGGACATGAAATGCATGAGTAAAATGGGCTTGAAAATCAATGTTTAGTTCCATAAATAGGGAAAAACCCACGTTTTGGTATTTAAAGCCATGCGTAAAATACATAGCTTATTTATGCAATAAGCCCTGTCAGAGAAAAGCTATCTCCAGTTCAAGATGCATGAAAGGTAGTTTTAGTTAAAAAGTTATCTTTTCAATGGGAAGTGAAGAAAGAATATCAAAACAAAATACATAACAAAAGAGGTCTCTTATTCAACAGCAGGTCATTAGGCAGAGCACACAGAAAATTAAAAGGACAGAAATATTTCACCCAACCAATTTCCACAGCCTGCAGCTCAGGCAAGTCATGCCTGAAAATACAAATGAATGAAAGAAAAAATTAATTTTAATGTGTCAGGATGCTAACGTGAAACAAATGAACAAAAAATCCCACAGCCTCATGAACATGGCAAACCCAAACCAAAGAGACATACTGTAATACCAGCAGTTACCAAAACCCATATTAAATCTTTTGACAAGAGTCCATGTCCAGAAAGAAAGGAGACACCGGCAAAAAAAATCTGTGCAGGTAGTGCTCTCATTTAGAATAGGCATATCAGGACTGGGCTAGGAATGTACCAAACCAACAACATACCCAGCACCATGTGCTGCAGCAGAACCTAACTCCTTTTCTGACTTGGTTGTAACAGGTAAAAAACCCACTCGATACCACCCCTTTATATTTAACCTTATTAAGGTCAAAGACCTAAGATCCTCTGCAGCTCTTGTCTTCCATGCCTGTTTCCCAACCTGAGCTGGTCAACGACTAGCTAAACTGTCACATTCTCTTGCCCTTCCATAACAGTCATAAGCAGGTGGCCAAAGAATTTAAGAACAAGTACACATGATACTTCCTCAACATCCTTTTGCAGCCTTCAGTCACATCGGCTCACAGACTGCAGAGCCTGTATTGTTTTGAGATACTTAGCAAGGGATTTTCTTGGGTGAGATTCTCAAGGTATCTTCAGAAACAAGACCTTTGATACACGTGTCCTTCACACTTGAGTCACAAATTCTAAAATTTAACACAAATCTGATCCAATCTGACTGTAAATAACACAAGCCTAACATAAACCACAGTATTTTCAGAAAAAAGTGCCTTGACCCAAGTTTGTTTATAACCAAGGAAAAAAATTACAGCATACAAACCTCTTATTTTTTAAGTCTTCCAAATTAATAAATAAAATTTTGAGAGTAATGACCAACTGCACTTACAGCATAGGCATACAGACCAAACAGCAAAAAAGTTTAGGTTCGGTCTACACACAAACTAGAGCAAAAGAGCAATAGAGCAAACTGAAAAATAAACTTCATACATAGCAAGTGGGATTCAGTATTACTTATTTTTTCCAAAGAGGATAGTAAGAAAACATGATATAAAAATTAACATGTAAAATTTAATTATGCAGTAAAAGCTATAACAAGTAGAAGTATAGGCTTATTGCTAACTTACTTTCCCTATTACTTTGCATGAAGATAATTCCCATTTCCTAAAAAGAAGACTCACCACGCTAAAAGTTACAAATCCGTACTTAAGATAATGGTCATTTTTATACTACTTGTGCACTGAACAAGACACTACAAGATGGTACAAATTCATAACCCACAACTTCTGGACATCCAAACCTTAACTGAGGTCACAAGAGGTCAAAGAATCCACTCCAGTAACGCTAAGTTTTTCTTACAAAGAAAAATCTTTTCCTCTGTTAACAAGCCACCAGTTGAGAGGCTAAACAGTAAGCAAACAAAGCTTTGTCTCTTCTATGACAATTTCAATCTATAAACTAAGGACCATAAAATAGGTTACATTATTAATTGCTTAGATTCAGAAGACCTTTCTCTTCTCTCAGAAGGAGCAGAAACAGCAACCAAAATACTCATGGGGTTGGGGGAGAAGGAGGACAACTGGAGCTGGATGAACAGTGGCAATCTCACTTCCATCTACGTCACCTTGATATGTACTCTTCCAACACCAACAAACCTGATGTCCACCGACAGCAATCAGAACTTGCTACCTTGTGAAACTGTAAAAGATTTTGTTAGTATTTACAGAATGTAACTGAATAGAAGTGACCTTCAAAGATATTTAAAAACAGACAAGAAAACTGAAGCCAAACATTAAATCTTGACAGTTACCCATTTCTAAGTAAAATAAAGTCTTTAAAAGGAAGGGGAGGAACACATCAACAGTTTTCCAGAGGCATTCTACAAAAATACTTGTAAGACATGAACAAGAGTTATTACACCTTGTTTCCAAAAAAACCAAAATTTTTCATCACTATATACAAACTTACCGATACAAATGGCCATCATCTTGGAAGTCCTCTTTGCCCCACCTTCCTTTAATATCTTCGATAACATGGTTTTTCAGGAACTTTTTAAGCAGCTTAACTGTTTGATCGCGAGTCACCTCTGGGCCGAAATTTTGATTAGAGCCGAGTAGCTCATGCAAAATATCCACCGCCTCCGAAGCTTTGAAGCAACGCTCGTAGCTTTTGAAACGACAGCGGTGCTTCCGTACGGGCATCCCGGCACGGAAGAGTTCTATTATCTCGTTCCACTAAGGGAGGAGAACAAAATCCGTTACGGGAACTCTGCGCCCAGGAGCATTTTGGCTCTACAAGCGCGATCAGAAAGCAAAAACTTGAAACCCTGAAAGCAGAGCTACACAATTTTCTCGCAAATCTGCGTTTGCGAGAACACTGAAAGATAAAAGATAAAAGACCTGAAAACAAACACAGGTCTAGGAAGCTGAAATATTTAGAGCCTCATATATCTGCCGCCCTACAGACACGGCCTTTTAACCTCTCTTAGGCGGGACAAAAGGCTGGACCTGCCGCGCCGCTCCGCAGCGCCTGCACTGGGCGCCCCCGCCCCGCACGGAGCCAGCCTGGCAGCAGCGGCCGGCACCCAGAAGACTGGAGAGGGAGCAGCCGTGGGCGCAGAGCAGTCCCGGGGGCAGAGCTGCCGGGGGGCAGCGGGGCACTCACCAGGCGTGTGGCGCGGTAAGGGCCGGGCCCCACCAGCCGCGGCTCCATCGGGGAGGCCGCGCCGGCTCCGCGCCGCGTTTGAATCCTCGCCGGGCCGCGTCGCCTCCGCCCATTGGCTGGCGGCGGCGTCAGGTGAGGCGCCTGCGCCACCTCTGATTGGCGAGCCCGGGATGACGGCGCGGGACGAGAGGCCGGGCGGGAGCGGCGGCGGCACCGCCCTGAGGGCGGGTCTGCGGAGCTGGGCTCGGGTTTAAACCCAGCCTTACCTTAGCAATGTATAGCAGTACTTGAAGAGAGGGTGCCTAGAGGATGGAGCCAGGCTCTTCTCCGTGGTGCTGAGCAATAGGACAGGAGACAATTAACAGAAACTGATGCACAGGAAGTTCCACCTGAATATGGGGAAAAACTTCATTACTGTGCGGTTGACCACACACTGGAACAGATTGACCAGAGAGGGTGTGGAGTCTCCCTCACTGGAGATACCCAAGAATTGTCTGGATGCAATCCTGTCCCATGTGCTCTAGGATGACCCTGCTGGACCAGATGACCACTGTGGTACCTTCCAACCTGACTCATTCTGTGAGTGGCAATGGGTCAAACCATGTCACTGAAACACTGGCCCGTGAATTACCACCCAGATAAAGAGAACACAACCTTGGCATTAACTAAACAATCAAACAAAACAAAACCAAAAAATCAAACAACCCCCCCGCCCGACATTTTTCAATGTTTTAAAGTTGTTTCTAATCATATTTTTTGATCAATAATTTTGTTTTGAATTCAGGCTGTATATGGGATAATTATTACTTACAATTATATTTTATATTATTCATACAGAAGACAGGGATTGATGTTGGTGTCACAGAGCTCATTGAGTTGTTTTATATTAGCTTTTTGTGAACATTATAAAGAAAGGATGATTTGGAAAATAAATAGGAAACTTGTTTTAAGGTATGAAATTCCGATAGGAGGTCAGCTCTGCTGCAGGGGCAGGGATATAACTGAAATTCCTGTGATACCTATTACAGATGAGCTATCTGCCAATTTTTAGGACTCCCACAGATGAGGAGTGGCTGCTAACACTAGTGTTTCACCTCCACCAAGTTTAAGGAAAATAAAATTCCCCTCTCAATATTGACTGTAACTCTTTCTAACCTAACTCAAATGTATGATACACTTAAGCATGTAAGATGCACAATTTTTAGGTCCGGATCGAGTTTGTGTAATTCTCACATTGTGTGTAAGCGGACAGGATTTAATAACATTTTGTACTGATGTCATTGGCATAGTTACACTTTATGCATCCTCTTAGGATACATCCATACAACTCACTGAAACAATGTATTCTCTTTCTCCAAATGCTTCGTAACTCACAAAAAACTAAACCGTTGTGCAGGAAATTATGCAGCATGAATCTGACGTGGCACTTACTGACAGCCCACAGAATGATTAGCATCTCCAGTTTCTGCTCCTTCTTATTAGTTTGTCATCTCAACTAACTCTGGAAGAATTTGGCTACTGTACAACTGCTAGAATTGGAAGTTTTTTCTGACTCCTTTCTGTTCAGCATCTGTCCACATGCAGTGCTCCTTAGTTTTGACCACGTACAGTCTCAGGTACTACTTAAGCCCACATGAGAGGGATTCTGTGATAAAGCACCTTTCCACATGTACTGCCAAGAAGCCAAGAACTCAGCACTGATGATTCTAGGATCAAGCATCTGAAATTCAGGGGTCCCAATACAGATTTCAATTCATCCAAATACTTTCTGAGATCTACTTTCAAACTGTCATGAGAGCTGACAGCTACAGGGATTAAACAGTGGAAAAATATAAAATTTTTTTTTATTTTTTTAATAAAGAAGACTCAATGTAATCTCAAAAGAAAACATTTGCAACTCATGCCTATAACGTTTAAATTATTTTAGTATTTATAATGCACCATAAAAGTCAATAAAATAAAAGTGTTCAGGTAACAAAAGTTGTTCCCTCGGTATTGTACAACAGGGAGGCTATTAAAACCTGCCTCAAAGCTTTGGGTATTTGAAAATCCCACAGACCTGATCAAGCACAAAGCAAATATTGCAAGCTTCTTTTCTTAAGTATTAAACATAATAGAAAACAGTACTTTTAAAGGTAACATTAATTTAAACACCTTTAACTCCTCATTTGCAGGTCTGTTGTGTGCATCAATCCTTTATTAAATTCATGCAGTACAAATGCAACTTACATACAATAGCTAGTTCCTTTAACTGCTATACATGTGTGACCCTAACCTGGGTCTGCCTAGCCATGGAAATAAAACACACTGGTTAATTCCACACAGATTGCAGTCTTGACCAGTCACCACTGCCTGACCCACTCTCAGAAGCCAGAGAATGTCACATTTTTTTTTTGCCTGGTTCTGGACAAAGTAACTGATGCTATTAATGGAATAACTTTAACCTTGAGTTGATAAGAACAAGCAATTATAATAATGAAAAAAACCAACACAAACTCTTTCTAGCCATGTATTTCAATAGATAATGGAAATGGAAGAGAGTAGAGCATAGTACAATCATGTCAGGCAACATTCAAGCTTCAATCAAAAAATTTCTTTTTTTTAATTTTATTTAAGTGCTAAGATTTTGGCTATTGAATTACAAGACTCAGTAATCCCCTTACCCCCTCCCACAAACAGCATATGCTACCAATATAAAAGATATCCATAGATACATTGAATAATAAGTATATTAGGCTACTACAGTGAACAAATCAGTAAGATGTTTTGATGACTACAAGATCGCTACAAGACAATTCAGATAATCCCCATATTAGTAGCTTTCCAACATTTACGATAATGTCCAACTGAGTAGAACATGAAATGAATTAAGTTCTCTTAGTAAAAGACAGTGTATCGAAAAATCTGATCTTCAAATGAAACGCCATGCCTTGACAGATCAACACACAATCCTTCCTTTAAAGTAATACAGTTTATAAACAGATATAACAATGTTTATGTATTGACTATATTAATAAGCTTTAAACAGTACTTACTGAAAATTCTTTTAATGCTGCAGACAGTCTCAGCAGCTTACAACATTAAGGTGAAGTGATTTTTATCCCCCTCAGTGTTCAAAGTACTCAGTACTTTTCATGCACATTTTAATTTTTCTAATTATTATCTTTATTTTCATGCATTTCCTAGATAGATATCATCTATCCTCTTTTTTTTTTTTTTTTTTCAGAGATCCACAGTGCTCCCCTCAGCCCCCATATTCTGAATCCCAAATAACTTACGGTAAAAATACAAATTCTGTTCTGGAAGAAAACATACAAAATATACACCATGTAGTGTGCGCACCTAAATATCTTGATTGTCAAGTAGTGCAAGTTTCCGCTTTGACGTATATACTTTTCGGTTTTAGAGACAAGAATTTGTTTTACTGATCTTTGTGGATCCCATTTCTTGCCATTTTTGGTAGTCTTTGTCCCTTCGTGTAAGCGTGGTACCAGAAGTGGAGAAACAAGACTAAAAACATAGAGCCATACAGCCAAATAATAAACATGAAAATTGGATACTGGTACGGACAATCATCCATGATGTAGATTTGTCCTATATGAACTGTAATCATAATAAACTGGACCTGGAGGGAAAAGGTGAAGAAAAGAAGTACTTTTTAAATAAATGACAGACTTACTATAGAAGTTTAAAAAAATTCAGCATAACTTGTATGCAGAAAAACAGATAGGAGGCATGGAGCCAGGGTAAAGTGGGGAGCAACAGGGACACCAACACAACTTCGTAATATGACAGAGATCACCTTTACAGCCCCTCTCCATAAGCCTTACTCCACTGAAAAACAGTTCTACAAAAAAAAGGCAGAAAAGTCCTGGGACAAATTGAATTACAAGCAGCACTGAGAAACTCATAGCAGGAGAATGAGATTCTACCCTGGCCAGTTCAGAGAAGAAGGAAGGAGGCAAACAGTGTTTGACCAATGACAAATGGGAGGGTCCTTTAGAGAAATTAGCCGGGGGGGGCGGGGGGCAGAAAGAGCAACCATTACAGGGTTTGGGAATATGAATTCCCACCTTCCCTGCACACTAGCACGTTACAAAAAAGTATTCCACGTGAACTCAAAGTTAATAGTCCACTGGTAGTGCCTCCAAGACAAAAAGACTGAGTTATAAATATTCAAGCTACATTGTTCAGAGTTGCACACGGTTACATGAACTATTCTATTAACATCAGCCCTAGGTGCAAGCAGACAGGGTGCTCCTTTCCCTCCTCCATTAGCATCCTTGCTCATGATAAGTGAATTGTTTAGCCAGGAGCTGAATTTCGAAAATCCAGCTGTTAAAAAACACGGGCATCAAAAAATCACCCAGAACCATAACCTTTCAAAAGTGATATAAAACTGATAAACACAATGTAATTACTACAGGAGCATTTTGTAATGCTCTGGGGTGAAGAGAGGACCCTGACATTAGCTCAGCTGGTTAGAGCATGGTGCTACTAACACCAAGATTGTGGGTTTGATCCCAGTGTGGGCCATTCATTTAAGAGCTGGACTCCATGAGCCTTGTGGGTCTCTTCCAACTCAGATTATTCTTTGATTCTGTGACTAAATTCTCTAAACATAAACACTTTCTATGAAAGAACAGACATGAAATTCAAAAGAAATATTTTTCCCTTTCCTCGCTACTAGTTACATATGTATTCTGTACATTGATTGTATTTTCTTGGTATAAACTTACGTTTTAATAATTTTTATACAAGTAATGAGTTTTGTAAGTATATTTACCAAGTATTGCATAACTGAAAAGCTCATGTGTCTACACCATTCTTATAGTGAATGCTGAAGTCAGCAGATTTAAGTATATAACTGGAGAGCTCACACCTTTTGTTTTCCTCAATTAAAACATAAATCTTGTACCAACTGTAACCTACACACATGAACATAAATAACTAAAAGTACAAATTTATTGCATTAAGTCTGTGTCAGCACAATCACATTTTTGAGAGTTGTATCTGTCAAAAGCAGTTACTCACAAGTTGTATAGTTGTCATGTACTTTTTCCACCACAAATATTTATGGTAGGCTGGTC